TCGGGCTTAGTCTGTATTCTCATGTTCTCCAAGTCCTTGTTCAGCAGCTGCTGCTCTGCTGACTCTGGACCTTTCTGGTTCTCAACTGCAGGAGCAAGAGTGACCCATTGTGTGGCATGTATTCCCAGGGGTTTCTCCATGTTGGAATCATTTACACATGTCCATGGGTGGGCCTCTGCAGTCGGTGCATGATGGCCAATTGTGTCATTGTTTCTCTGTGCCATGGTAGTTCTCAATTGAACGGTTGTGGCTGGTGTGAGGACTGGTGTGCCACCACACAACTTCCCAGGCACTAGGGGCCCTCCTCCTGGGCGCCTGTGAGGCAGGGAGCCGCCCTGAGGACCAGCCCTCCCTGCCGTGAGGCTTCCTGGGTGCCTGCGATTTTTTTTGTCTTACTGAGACAGGGTCTGGCTATGCAGTTCAGGCTGACCTTAAGCTCACTTTGTAGCCCAGGCTGGCCTCGAACTCGCAAGGATCCTCCTGCCTCAGCCTCCCGAGTGCTGGGATTACAGGCATTTGCCACCATGCCCCGCCTCAGAGAAGTATATCTCAAAATACAAATAATAGTTCTTTAGTGGTGGACCCCGAATAATGTATCAATTTTGAGGCTAGTTTATTTGGATATAGAATTCTAGGTTGATTTTTTTTTTAGGACTTTGATGATATCATTTTGTGCATTCAGTTTCTGAGACATGTACTGTCAGTCTGATTGTCATTCATTTGTAGGTAATTTTTAATTTTTGGTTGCTTTTAAGGTGTTTTGTATTATGTGGGTTCAATGAGACATGTCTAAATGTAATTTATTGTTTCTTTTAATGTGTTTGGATTTTTCTTCTTCTTTTTTTGGAAACAGCATTTCAGGCTGGACCTAAACTTGCAGTCATCCTCCAGCCTTAACCTCTTAAGGTGTGTGCCACCACGCCAGGCACTTGTTTAGAATTTGTATTTTAGTCTCATGTCTGTAGTTATAGAATGCTATGGAGCAGTACCTTTTGTAGTACTGTTTGTCTCATTCTTAGGATTTTTTCCTTCTAGGACTTGTTAAGACTTCTAATTCTGTCTTTCACGTCTCTTCTCATTCTTACGTTTTTGTATCTCTGGGCTTCACTATGGGTGAAGCCTTAGATTGCATTTCCTTAGATTGCTGTCTATCACTTGTGCATCCTCTCTCCCCCTCTCTCCCTCTCTCTCTCTGTTCTGGGGATTGGACCTAGGGCCTTGGGGATGTTAGGTGAGTGCTCTGCGACCGAGCTGTGTAAGGACCCCCCCCCCCCCATATGTGAGGGAGTGTGTGTGCACGTGCATGCCAGTGTTGCTCCTGGATTGAACCCAGGAGCACTTTACCACAGTTACGTCCCCTAGTCCATTTTATTCCATGTATTTGGTACTAAGGGTTGAACCCAGGCGTACCCTACCGCTGCGCCACACGCCCAGCCCTTTTACTTGATATCTGAGAGAGAGTCTTGTAGGTTGCTGAGGCTGGCATGGGACTCCTGATCTTCGGTCTCATCTTCGTAGTGTTGGGACTGTTGTCCTGTGCCACCATGCCAGCTCCTTTATTTGTGGCTTTTTAAAATTACATGTTCTTTTTAACGGTATTGTTTTCTTTCATTATGTTTCTTTGTCTGTCATTTAAAATATACTAATTTTGTCCTTTTCTGCTTTTCTAATTTGTGTCTCAGGTATTTCTGCTCCTATGTGCTGTGCTTGTCAGTTCTCATGGTTGTCTGCTTCCAACTGAAGTACTTGATTGACATCTCAGCCTTTTTTTTTTTTTTTTTTTTGGTCTTTTTGAGACAGGGTCTCATTATGCAGTTCTGGCTGGCCTTGAGCTCACTTTGTAGCCCAGGGTGGTCTCAACTCCTGGTGATCCTCTTGCCTCAGCCTCCCTGCCTCACGTCCCGAGTGCTGGGATTGTAGGCGTGTGCCACCACGCCCGGCTTCTCTCTTTTTCTTACGTTTTATTTAGCAGTTCTGGTGTGTTTACAGGAGTTAGCGTCTGTTTCTGCTGGGTTTGCTCTGTCGTGAGTCGAGCTTTAGTTTCACCTTTCAGATGCCTTGTTTTGTCTAACTTCTCCTGTTTTCTTACCTTGAGTGCTGTAGTTTAGTTTGCACTTCTTACCTGCAGTTATTTTCTATGACTGTCAGTGATCTTTCTGTAATATAAATATTCCTCTTCATTTTCTGGTGCAAAACACGCTAATAGTTTTCCATCAAGTGAAAAAAGATGCTTGCATTGGTGTTTTATTTTGTTTCACTACCAAGTAACAAACCAGAGGCTGTGTATTTAGATATGTCCCCAGCCCTTTATTTTATTTTAGTTTAATTAAATTTTATTGGCAGTGTCTCACTATGTCATTCAGGATGGCCTTGAATTCACTTTGTAGCCCAGGTTGGCCTCATCTGCCTCAGTGCCCGAGTGCTGGGGTTTACAGGCGTGTGCCAGTATGTAGACTCGTCTTGTTTTGAGACTCTCCCTGGAAGAGTTGTTTAGGGTCTCACAGTGATTCCGTTGCCCAGGCTGGGCTCATCCTTGCACTCCTCCTGCTGTAGCCTCCCCGAGTGCTGGGATCATGGGCGTGCACCACCCCCTCAGCTTCACATACAAACGCACACAGTTTTTCATACCAGGGCAAGCCTGTTCCAAGTGTGCCTGCCTACCAACGACTTTATAGTTTATAGTTGAGTGTAGTACTTTTGTTTATGATTTTTACTAGTTTTGTGGTAGAGTTTTGTTTTCTTTTTTTTTTTTTTGGTGATGGTGGTAGTGGTACTGGGATTGAACCCAGGAATCTAGGCAAGTGTTGTACCACTGAAATACATCTCTAAGCCTTTTTGATATGTTTTGTAAACATTAGTAAATTCCATTTAATAGGTAGATATGGAAGTTGTTGAAAATGCTATGAGGTGGTGTAGTGTTCTGGTGGATTAAGAAGAAAACCTTACATGGGCTCCTTACACTGGTGCACTGGTGCCTCACTTCACAGACCTTATTTTTCCCACGGTTCTGGTTGGAACTGAATTGCAGGCGTTTATGTACTATGTATTATGCATTATGTACTATGTATTATGTACTATGTACTGTGTACTAGTACATTTATGTACTTGGAACTAGAATCATGGAATAAATTCTTGTTTATAAAGCCTGCGACTAGATACTTTGTATTACTTTCTTATTGCTTTATCTTTAACATCATCTAAGATAATTAACTAAGATAATTACCTTAGTGTGTGTAGTGGAGGGTACTGAGTCCAGGGCTTTGTGCTAGAGAAGCACTCCAGCACTGAGTTATACCCCTATCATTTTCAAAAAACCTTTATTATGACACAAGGCCTCACTGATTTGCCCAGGCCTGCCTTGAACCTGTAATCTTTCTTCCTCAGCCTCCTGAGTAGCGGGATTACAGGCTTGGACCACTCTGTCTGGGACTATTTTTTTTTGTTGTTGTTAGTCTTCTGTTGAGAAGTTTTTCTAGGCCTTGGGTGTAGCTCAGTGATAGCATGTGCAAGGCCCTAGCTTTGAACTGTAACACTGCCCAAAAAAGGTTCTACAATTTCAAGAGATCCTTGAAGATTGGAATATTGGAATATATAAGCATAATTAAAGAGTAAGTAATTTTTATGCTTCTTTAGAAATACCTAAGCAACATAACCAAGGAAATGATTGCCGAAGAGACATTGATACCCTGGGAGCTGTGTGTGACATTGCCAACAGGTAAAATAAATTTGTTTTTCATTTTTATTTCCTGTATTAATTTTAGTACCATTTTTAAGTCAGTTTCTAAGTTTTTTTACTGTGGACTAGTACATAATTTCCCCCCCTTTAACTAGACAGTATTTTCCTACTTCAGATTTAAGATTTTCAGAAAAGACTTAACATTTATGATATATGAACTTTTTTTTCCTTTTATTTTCTAAACATTGGGTTTCATGGGGAGTGTTTGGGTTTTGAAGAAAAAATATATGGACATGATCTAAGGCGAGTTTGGGGATCTTATCATTGTATGTGTTTGGGCTCTGGAAATCACTCTGTTGCCTTAAGCAAGGGTTTGGGAGCTTTGAGGTGAGCCCAGCTGGTACTTCTCAGATGGTATGTCTCTGTGCCCCTGCTGCCGCGGCTGCCTCTGACCTAGCCTTGGGCTGGTCCAGTGCTTTCCCACTTGAGTATGAGCAACTTGTTCTTTTATCTTTATTATATGTTGAAGCTTTTGACAAGCTACTTGATAAAGAGTTCCTTGCTTTAAAAAAATTAGATTTCTTTTTTTTTGAGACAGGGTCTTGTCATGTAGTTCAGGCTGGGCTTGAGCTCACTTTGTAGCTCAGGCTGGTCTCGAACTCACAACAGTCTTCCTGTCTCAGCCTCCTGAGTGTTGGGATTATAGGCGTGTGCCACCACTCCTGGCAGAAGACTTCTTATTAACTCCAAAATTTAACGTGGAAAACCCGGAGCTATTTTGTTTCAACTTCTTTCAGTAATATTTCTATTTTCTTTATTGCCTGTTATCATTTAGGCACCTAAAACTAATACCACTTTATAGAAGCAAAAAATCTCTAAATTAAATGCATGTAATCCACTTGGGTAATGTATTTGTTTTTGATGGACATTAAACATTGTAACGTAGCAATTAAATGCAGATGTGGTGAGTAGACTGTGTTGTTTTTCATTGCCATTTGATTTAGGTAGGTGTTGTTCAGTCCAATTTCCCCAAGTAAATAAGGCTGGATTTGAAAATAAAATACTAGGAAAATCATAAAACAAAAGTCTAAATTTTAAATGAAGAGGTTTATTTCATACTCTTGGTACACGGAAATGCCATCAATACAGTCAAAGCTTTTATGTGAAACTGAGCCACTGGCAGTGCCTCTGCACTCATTTTCTGGCTCGCAGGAGTTCAGGATTAGTTGTGGAGGAATTATACTTGGGTTTTTTTTTTTTTTTTTTTTTGACACAAGGTTTCACTATGCAGTTAAGGCTGCCCTTGAACTTCATTTGTAGCCCAGGCTGGTCTTGAACTTGCAGCGATCCTCCTGCCTCAGCCTCCCGTGCTGGGATTACAGTCTTACAGGGATAATGCCACCACACCCAGCTTCTTTCATTCTTTTTTTTTTTCCCTCTGGATTTTTTTTTTTTTGAGACAGAGCCTCCCTATGCAGTTCAGGCTGGCCTTGAGCTCACTTTGTAGCCCAGGCTGGTCTTGAACTTGCAAGGATCCTCCTGCCTTAGCCTCCCGAGTGCTGGGATTACAGGCGTGCACCACCACGCCTGGCTTTTTTTTTCCTTGGTATTCAGAATCGAACTCAGGACCTTGTGCTTGCTAGCCAGGCACTGTGCCCCTAAGCTATACCCCCAGTCCCTGCCTTCATTGGTGAATGTGGATTTGATGTTGATTTTTGAGTACCTAAAGAAGAACGATGAACTCTTGGGAGATGTTGAAGGAATAGTAAAATGGCCTTTTCACTTTACCCTCACATTGCCACTCTTATAGTATGCCAGAAACCAGTCACGTTAAATATTCCTCGATATCTATCAATTTTTTTGATACTTTTTCAATATTATGGGTTTAGGGCTGTGGTTGGCGCTTAGTGTGTGTATGTCCTGGAGGCACTGGCTTCTGTCTCGAGCACCACCACACATGGGCACTAAGGCTTGGGATGTTGAAGGCATTAGGGGAACACTTTTGGTGGTGGGGTGAATGATTAAAAATTCCTCACTGTTAAATAGTATTTGTAATTAAATATTTCATCTGAGCTGGGCGTGGTGGCACATGCCTGTAATTCCAGCACTCAGGAGGCTGAGGCAGGAGGATCGTTGAGAGTTCAAGACCAGTCTGGGCTACAAAGTGAGCTCAAGGCCAGCCTGAACTGCATAGCGAGACCCTGTCTCAAAGAGACAAAAGAAAAAAAATCATCTGTAATGTGGGTAGGATACACTTAATGAAATAAAAGAATATCTTATTTTGCATGAGGTCAGTAATTTAGTTAATTGGGAAATTTATATACAGATAAGATTGATGTAATTATTAAAACTGTGACAGCTGGGCAAGATGGCACATACCAGTAATCCAGGTGCTCTCAGGCTGGGGCAGCAGGGTCACAGTTGAGCTTGGCCTGGGCAATTTAATGACTTAGACCCTGTCTCCAGAAGAAGGCGTGGTGTGGGTGGGGTGCTTGCTCAGGGTGAGGGTCCTGGGTCAGTGCTCAGTGCAGCAGTCAGACAGACAGCGCGACATGGGAAGAGCAGCTCTAGAGAAGCGTGTTGTTATCTCTTTCTCATGCAGTTGTCTTTCGCCAGTGCCAGAGCAGAACTGGTCGCTATAAATCTCATTGCTGACTTCTTTTTGTTGGTTTTTTGAGACAGGGTCTCGCTATGTAGTGCAGCCTGGTCTCCCCGGCCAGTCATGGCCTTAGTGGCATTGTTTCATAGGTCATTGGCTCTTTTTCTGAGGGCTTTTTGTAAATTTTAATGTAAAGTTTTTAGAAAAAATACAGTCCTTTGCCTTGGATAGCTGGGTTATACCTTGCTAAATTGAAGCTTGAGTAATAGTGGTCTTGACTTATGTTTGGAAGATGGGTGAAGATTCGAAGAGTGCATGTTTGGAAAAGCTTGAAGATGTATATTTTTCTTATATGAAGTATTTGTAAAGCTGTTAATTTTGTGTTTCTGACTGTGAAAAGAAAGTGAAGCACCAACATGCTTGCTGTTAACAGTAGTTTCTATGGTAATTTAAAAAAAAAACTATGCAGAGTAGGGAAGTTTTTGCCTTAGAATTTAAAAGATCTTTTGAAATCAGAATAAAAGTTATTTAAAGTTACCATTTCTTACAAGATTTTCATCCTGAAAAGATACATGAAGTTTCAGTGTTATCCAGAGGGACAAGGGAATCTAAAGCAAGGCAGCACAGTATAGGCTGACTAGAGCTCTGGGGAACCCTGACTTCACTCTGTGTGTAACGTTTGCTACAGTGCAAAGTTCAGCACCTGAGAAATTGCTTTTGGCTGTGAAATAACCAAAGAATCTTTTTTTTTTTTTTTTTCCCTTTTGAAACAGGATTTCACTATACAGCTCAGGCTGGTCTTAAACTCACTTTGTAGCCCAGGCTGGCCTTGAACTTGCAGAAAATCCTCCAGAGTGCTGGGATTATAGACTTGTGCTCAAAAGAATTTTAAAATCCCTGTACAGTGACATTGTGTGACGTGGACTCTGAGGATGTTGTAATAATGCAGTTGCAGTTCACTGAATTTGTGTTGAAGCTGTACTCCAGCTTCTGAGTATTTTTTAAGGCATTCAGCTCTTTGCAAAAATACTACTGGTGATAGAAGGAAGAGAAAGGGAGAGCAAGAGAGGGTCAAGATGCGGTATGCGTATCTGCCGGTATGCCACGGAATATATTCTTTATGTATCACAAACATATGCTAATAGTCTAAGAATGCAACAGCTTGAAACATGTATAGCAGGTAAGTAAAGTGTTTATAATTGGGAGGCAGATACACAAATTGAGCTGAAATACTGCTCTAATTGTCACCATACCTCCCTAGAATAAATTGCCTTTTGATGACCGGGACGAATTGAGTGAAATCGTAACGGACAGATACGGGGCAGACAGTTTCTTTTTTTCTTTGGTATCGGGAATTGAACTCAGGACCTTGCACTTGGCAGGCAGGCTCTTGTGCTGCTGAGCTGTATCCCCGGCCCAGTTTCTTTAGAATATTTAGAACACATCAAGTGAACGGAATTCTTTCCTACGTATAACTTGGATCTGCTCGCTTTTCCCTTTTAGTTCTGCGTCTTTCCTGTTGCAGTCAGCTTCACTGTCAGAGAGAAACACTGTTCCACTACTTGAAAAGGTATATTCTGACAATTTTCAATTCTGACTACACTAAACTGTTATAAAATGCTGTTTGTTTTTGTTGATATAATAGTTTAATGAAATTCTATTTTCATATTTCCTAATATTTCTGCATTTTGTGACATTTCTGTTTATATATTCTTTGCTAAGTAGAAATGTTGGAATTACTTAATTCTGCCAGGAAACATATAATTTCACGTAATATTAACTTTTTATAGGTTCATAATCAATGAATCTCTAGGGAAGAAAGCTTCAAAATCAGCTGCGATTGTTAAGCTTCTAACATGACGTGTCTGTTTTAGGATACGGAGATGAGAGTGCCCAAAGAGAAGGGTGAAAGAATTTTTCAGAAAGTACCGGAATTTGAAGGGCGGGACTCTCCAAGGATGGATATTGCCAAAGATGCAGAGAATAGAACATCCGGAGGAGCTCTGCCAGCTAAAAAAAGTGACCCATTCCAAAAAGCACAGGATCATCTGGTAGAAGAGGTTAGAAAAAGACAGTTAATAAGGATCCTTAATTATCTCGCACTTTTCTCAGTGGTTTTGGTACAGGAAGTGAAATGCGGTAAATTACTGAGTCGCTGAGGTGCTCTGTGGGGGAGAGGGTAAGAGGACACAGATGATAAAAATAAGAGTTAAAGCAGAGTTGGCCTCCTAAAAAGTAGAAATAGATTTCAGATAACTTATTTAGTTAAATTACAATGCTTTAGAACCTGCTTTTCATTCTAGAAATATCATCTGAAAATAAAAAAATAATTTTTGTATGGTATATAGGTGATTAACCTTTATATAAATTGTTAGCTAGATGTACCAATGAGTGTACTTATTTAAATACTTTGTCAGTGTTGTCCATTTCTCAGCTTCCCTTTTTGAATATGAGAACAAAGAATAAGCGATATTATATTATCACTGAGTGAAGGTTTTGTTCCTTTTTTCCCCCCTACATATTTCAGTGATTTAAATGCATTGCTGTTCATGAACTTAATTTTCTAGCTTGATCTGCCCCTTAGTGTTATCCCACCTTTCACTGGTAAGTGACCACGAGTGCTGTTCATTACTGCAGAACTCAGTTTATACAATCGGAAACTCAAGCCACTCACTAATTTTATTTTACTGACATGTTTTTCATAATATACGTTAGCATTATTTTAATTTGGTCAAGTAACCAGAAAACAAATCACTTGCTTTTTATTCCCGAGTGACTTGAAGAAAAATTTGGTTTACAGAATTAATTCAGGTGTCTGAGTTCTCTCCTTATCCCAACCCTGCTCAAACTGAGTGTATTCAGATAAGGGAACTGAATGCTGCTTTTCTTGTTTGTAACGTAAGTGCCAGCTTCATGCTCGCTAAATACTTTCAGATCTCTGAAGTGCTGTTGTTCCTCTGTAGCTACTGAACACTAAAGAAAAGATGGTCATTTTTTTTCTTTCTTACTTGTGGGGAAAATGTCCCATTTTGTGGTGAATAGAATTTAGATTAGTGACAGGAGGGAATGGGATAGAGAAGCAAAGTCCTAAAATCTCAAGACTTTGAAGGTAAAGGGAAATTAATTTTAATAATATTTACAACAAGAGATAGTGAGATAGTTCATGATTCAGTTCTAAGAAGTCCTCTGTTTTCTTGGGTAATCTCAGTATATTTTTCAGGAAGTTAGTTTTTAGTGATCTCAGAGGGCAGTGATTTTAAGTTGTATGCCCTCCCTAGTTTTATTGATATTTAGTTAATAGAGAGCTATTTCTTTTTGTTTCGTTTTGTTTTTTGAAACAGGGTGTTGCTGTGTAGTTCATTCTGGCCTTGAAGTTACTATGCAGCTCAGGCTGGCCTGAAACTCACAGTAATCCTCCAGCCTCAGCCTCAGCCTCCCAAATGCTGGGATTACAGGCCTGTACTCCCACATCCAGCTGTTTTCATATTGTACATTTTCTTTTCTCTATTTGAGAATACGTCCTTATTCCTTGTTTACTAGTGTAGATCTGTCAGTGAGGCTTCTGGCAAAGATGTCTGTTGTCAGAAGTTTCTTTTTGTTAGTGGAGATGTTACTGTGCAGATGAGCTGTGAGAGTCTCAGTTCTGTGTCTCAGAATTGTCAGGCTCTAACATGGTGGCAGTCAACAGCTTAGGTCATTCTGTAGTAAACTACCCTAAATATTTTCTTTTTTTCGTCTTTTGAGGCAGGGTCTCGCTATGCCGGTCAGGCTGGTCTTGAGCTCACTTTGTAGCCCAGGCTGGTCTTAAACTTGTAGTGATTCTCCTGCCTCAGCCTTCTGAGTGCTGCCTAAATCTTTACAAGTATAAAGACTCTTACTGTTCTTTCCTCTTGATCAGCTGTCCATTTAAGATAACCAAAAAAAACCCCCAAACAAACTGTGGTTTTGTGCTTCACTTCACCTTGCAGGATTGTACACGACACAGAGTGTGTGGGAAGTTCATTTTTGTCTCATTTTTGTGCCACGTTCAAGAAGTGCTGCTAACTGTGAAGTGCTTGTTATTGTTGCCAGAGTTTTGCTGGCTGGTACCAGGAGGCTTGGTAATTTTAATTTTTTCTTTCCTGTTTCAGGTTGCTAGGGCAGTTTTATCTGATTCGCCACAGGTCTCTGAAGGAAAAGAAGTGAAATTAGAGGAACTAATTGACTCGATAGTGTCTGACCCCTTCTTACCAAGGAAACAGATTCCTCGAACCCCAGAAAATTTGAGTAAGTTCATGTTTTCTATCCCAGGCTCTCTGTCTTAGACATTATTGCTGTTAGATCTGCGGTCTGGCAGACATTCTAGAAACACACTTTAAAATTCGGGTTTCTGTGTCTTTCAGTTTATTGGCAGTGGCTGTTTATTTGTTCTGACACAGGGGTCTTGGGGGAAGTCAGGGTGGGCACGTTCACAAAGCAGTCTTTCCTCGGTGGTATTTTTTGGCTTTAGTGTACTCATACAGAAGTGTGAGCTCTTACAACAACACAGTCTTGTTTTTGTTGTTTTGCTTGGCTTTGGGCCTTTTTTCTGGAAAGTATTGTATTTGATCACATTTAAGAAATCTGCCTTCAAATCTGACCTGTGGTGCACATTTAGAGAGTGTGGAGGCTGCGTTCTCCTGGTCAGCAGCCTAAAGCGTCCGCCCAAAGCTGCACAGATTGTAACTCCTCCCCGTGGAGCACTAGGTCTGTTTTGGATACTAATTCACGTAGGCAGTTCTGATACTGGTTTCATTATGTAACCAGTGCAGATTATATTGGTTGAATGATTGAGTACAATTTCTGTTTTGCTGTTTAATTCAGGTTTAACTGAGCCACAGTCTAGATCAGTCAGCAAATAACTTGCCTGTGAACCAAATCTGCAGTGTGTTTTTGTAAATGAAATTGTATTGGACATGACCTTGCTTATTTATTGACTTACAGTTATATTTATTATATAGTGACTTGCATGCTACCGTGGCAGAGTTGTATAGCTGTGATAGAACAAATGACCTGCAAAGCCTAAAAGCCTGAAATTTGGTCTTATGGGAAAATTTTTTTTTTTTTTTTTGAGATAGGGTCTTGCTCTGTAATTCAGGCTGGCCTTCAAACTCACTATGTAGTCCAGGCTGGCTTTGAACTCACAGCGATCCTCCTGCTTCAGCCTCCCTTTGCTTATGGAAAAAGTTTGCCAAGCTGTGGTCTAGATGGGCAAGAAAATGTCTCTAATACATGCAGTTCATATGTATTGTATAAAAGTATATTTCATTTCAGGAATAGTGTCTGTCTTGGTGCCATGACTGACTTACCTTTTTCTCCCTTTTGTCTTAGTTAGCTGTTGTCTTGTTCACTTTTTTTTCTTTGCTGAGACAAAATATCCAGCACCCACAGTTAAAGGAGGAAAGGTTTATTTTAGTTCACGGTTTGTGGAAGTTTCAGTCCATAGTTGGCTGGTTTGGTATGACGGAGGAGAAACAGTGCATGGCGGATAGAACGTAGCAAAGTAAGCAAGTGACAGTGGCAGCTTCTTCCTGTCCCTTTTCTGTTCTGTCAGGGCCGCTTGTCTTCTTCCCGTAGGGTGGGTAGCACGCACCCAGATCTGTGCCAGAACAGTCAGCGGACTGATTTAGAATCACATACTGCCAGTCCCACATCACACACTCCGGGTCCAGCCCCTCTGCGGAAGCCCCACTGTGACCGTGTGTGGCTTTGGAGGGCACAGCCGTAACACCTGTCATCCCAGCTGCTTAGGACACTGAGGAGGAGGATCACAAGTGGGAGGCTGACTTGGGCGGCGTAACGAGACCTAGTCTCAGGATGACAAACGAAACAAACAAACCCCCCTGAAAACAGGCACAGCTCTCGTTACATGTTTACTTTGTGTTTGATCAGTTGGAGTTACGTTTTGGGGTTCGTTCTGTCAAGGAGCCTTGCCATCCAACGAGTATATTTTGGGGGACATATACTGAATCATTAGTTTTATTTTCAGCACAAGAAGTAGAATGTTCAGTTTCATTCTGTATTTTGAGAATATTAGTAAATTGTGGGTTATTTTCCTCCTTTAATTAGCAACTGAAATTAGGAACTGCTGGGGAAAAGCTGCTGAAATGGGAGGTATCAGAAGCACAGAACCAGCTCAAATGGATGCTGACCTTGGAGAAGCATTGCCGGGACCCTTACCTGCAGCGCACAGTCGAAGAGAAGTTAGTATGGCCAGTTTTTTCTCAGATTTTGACCAGTCTTGTTTGCCTGAAGAGAAAGTTGTTTTGGACTGTGGTGAGGGCATGCCTCGGAAACATGTGGTCACCAGTCGTATTGGTGAACCCCCAACAGAAAATAAGTCAGACTTGTTCAATAGGAAAATAGTCTGTTCGCAAGATGTGGAACGTACAGCTTTACCGACCAAGCTCTCAGAAACTAGCTTAATAGAGGGATTTCCCCCTTCTGTACATAATAGGATCAAGGTGATGATGGGTAGAAGTAAAGATAAGTGTATTAAAACATCAGACCACTCAGAAGCTTCTCATAGTGAAACTTCCATGCATAAAACTGTGTTATGGGACTCTTTTCAAATATTAAGTGGAATTAGTTCTAAGAGTTTTAACGATATGGATTTTGGCATACTACATGAAACTCTTCCAGAAGAAGTTGGTCATCTAAGTCTTAATAGCTCTGGTAGTTCTGAGGCCAATCTTAAGTTGGAGTCGAATAGCCCTGTGCACAGTGGCATTTTTCTGGATGAAGTTACGAAAGGAAGACAGACTGCTCCAGAATCAGACTTCAGTTTACAGGCTCTTCCCAGTAGTTACGAGGCGCTGAAGAAATCTCTTTCCACGACAAGGGAAGAGTCTCACCTCCGAGGTCCTGAAGTTCTTGAACGACACAAGCAGGAAGTGAGTCTTGCAGCTGAGAACATGCAAGCAGTGGACACCGATGATTTGCTTGCTGACTATGCACAGCCATCGTCACGCGTGTCCCTTCGTGAGAGAAAACGGTCTCTGTCACCATTAATTAAGTTTTCTCCAGTGGAGCAAAAATTGAGGACCGTAGTACCATGTAGCCTTGGAGAACCATGTAGTCTTGGAGAACTTCTACCTAATTTAAAAGGTAAGGTTTAACTAGACATGTGCATATTCACCTTGGGAAGTTTTGAGCTTCATAAAAACAGTACACAATGAATGGTATTTGATTTTGGTTGTTAATGTGACAAAATACACTTTTTATTCCTTCATCTGCAGTGAAAGGTGAGAACCCTCACTGTGTGGGTACTTCAGAATCTCTACTGATGTGTAGTAGGTTACAGTTGGTTTGGGCAAGGGTATAAAAATACTGTTGTTTTTTGAAACTTAACTCTTTTTGTAATATAAACTACTGAACGTAAAGGTCATTGCAATCTAACTGTTGTGTTGGTGTAACAGAGGAGGTTTGCTGGGAAGTGAATTTGGTGGTGGGAAGGGGAGTGGAAACAAAACAAGGTTAGTCATTGCTTTAGTGTCCTAGGGCTCTAGCAAAGCACCACAAGCTGAGTTACTTGAAATTTATTGTTTTTGAAGACATTAACTTCTAGAGACTAGAAGTCCAAAATCTTTGTGTTCTTTCTGAAGCCATTAGTGGAGGATCCTTCCTTACCTCTCCCAGCCTGTGTTTACCCTGGGTGTCCTTGGCTTGTGGCATCATAACTCCAGTCTTTGTCTGTCTTCACCTGGCTTTCTTTTCCTTTGTGTCTCGTGTCTCTCTCTTCTTACAAGTTGTATTAAAGGGCCTGCCTTATTCCAGTGTGGCCTTGTTTATAGCTAACTAAATCTGTGACTTTCCAGTTAAGGCCACATTCTGATGTACTGAGGTTAGAGTGTCAGCAACTTTTGAGAGGCACAATCCAACCTATAATTATTAGTATTAATAACTGAAACCATATGTTAGATATACTAGGTTAATTATAATTCTGTTCACTTTTGTGTGTTTGAAAATTTTCATTGTAACATGTTAAAAAATTGCTGTCATCCAGTGTTAGGACAGATTCAGCATCAGTGATACACTCAATTTACCTCTGATAATTACAGTGGTATTTTGAGAAGTATTTTAGGAAGAATCTGTTACTCTCTGGAGAAAGGTACTTGAGTAAGAAACATAGTAATTTTATCATAGTTTGACTACTTTCTTAAGTATAAGCCTTTTCAAATTAAGGAATTTGTTTCTACTTGGAATGTTTTCTTGTAATGTTTTTTGCTTATCACTTTCTTTTTTGAAATCAATTTACAGAAGAAGAGATCTTGAATAAGAGCCTCGATGCGAAAGAATCTGACTCGACAAACTGATGCAGTGCCTGCTTACTGTAACCGTGATGCACTTAAACTGAAGCTGTGTTGCAGAATAGAAGCTGGTTCATAACTTAATTATGTGTTGGCAGTGTAACACTGTTTTTCAAAGTTGTATAAAGACCCTAGGTACCTTTTGGCCTCTTGTGATGTTTGTAGATAAGGAAAGTAGGTTTGGGTTTTCTTCTTGGTAGAGATGTGAATGTGGAGTCTTTGGAAAGCAAATGTGAAGTTATGGGATGTCATTTTGTTATCTTGAATAATCTTGTAAGCATTAAATACATAACAAATGTAGTTTAATTTGTTAAAATGTCAGTTAACTAACATAAAGATGAGTAGCTTTTGAGGTACTTTCAAGTGGTTAAACTAATAGCCACTGAATGTACTCATCTTTCATTTTAGAGAAATGAAACACTGTTATTGGTTCTTTATGGAACATTCTGGTACTAACCAAAAAAAGTGAGAAAAGTAGTACCTTGGGATGTATGGTCAAAAAGACAAATTTTGATTTGGAATGTTGTAAATTGGTTTAATGATTATTCCAGTAGATTGGTCCTGAAAGTGATACTTGATGGGATTAAGCACAAGTGATAAATGCAGAGTAGGGCAGAGAGCATTTAGAGGAAAGGAGGAGGATGGAAGAAGATGACAAGCCACCTAGGGAACACTGTCACACTATGAATCCGTTCACTGGGTTGTATAACAGATTTCTTTTTAGTCTAATTTAGACTGAAAATTAAATGCTAGTTTATATTTTAACAAAAATAAATAAATTAAAAAATTTATTAGTCTGTTTTATTGGGTGATTTTGGGGGGAGGAGTAGGGTGCTATTTTTGGGATAACAACTAGTTTCGATTTGTGTTATTTTACTACTCAAAAACCATTAAAGTTCCCAAGTGCCTACAGAAAGGTCCAAAGTAGCTTGAGAAAACTGAACTTGGGTTTAAGTACTTTACAACATTTATAGTCTTTGGTTTCACTGTTTTAGGCCCTGGCTCAGAAATGGGTTTCTTTCTAGATGTGCCATCACTTCTGTGAGCCAGGAGGAGCGGAACAGGCATTGGAAGGGAGATCACCTTCAGTACCGTCTGTAGAGCTCCAACTTGTAACCGTTACAATCCTGTTCTCTAACCTCCAAGAACCTGACAAGAAAAGTTGGAGGGAAGAATTCTGAGAGTAGATTGGTTTAATCGTCTCTGTTCACTTGGACTGCTTTTCTTCTTAAGTTGCTTGTGTGTCCCAGTTTGAAAACCAGCCTTCTGGCAGAAGTGCCTTCTTTGCAGTGGTAAAGAAAGGGAAGAAAAGCTTATAAGGTGTTGTGTTGATACTTCATCACTGTGGTCAAATACCTAGAAAAGCAGTTCAGAGGAGGAAACATTTATTTTGGTTCATGATTTCAGGTGTCAGTCCGTGGTAGGCTGGTTCCACTCCTGTGAGCCTGAAGCTGCTCACTTCATGGCCGCCAGGAAGAAGAGAAAAAGCAGAAGTCCAGGGTCCCCACCAGGCTATGTGAGCCATTGCTCTCTGCTAGGTCCCACCTTCTGTTTCTGTCATCTGCTGATAATGCCGCCAGATTATGACCTCATTAGTGGATTAATCTACTTGATGAAGTTAGAGCCTTCATGATCCAGTCCTTTCTCAAGATCCCACCAGCCGGCGAGCAAGCCGTACACATTTGGGGAACATTTCAACCCTAAGCCACAACAGGTGCCATTTCCTTTATTAACACAGCAAATGAAGGGCTTTGTAGGTCTGCTTGGAGATCATCCTCTGTTCTCCTTTAAGGAGCCTCAGTATCTTTAAACGCCAAATAAATGTTTGGGAGGAGGTAGGACTACCATATTCGGATCTGCAAAGTGCCAGAGCTGTTGCTAGGTGTTTAATACATACTGATTCATTCTGTTGTAACTCGAGTGGTACGTACTTTTACAGAGTGTGACCCTGAAGCCAGGCAACTTAAATGACTGAAGGACTGGAGAACTGGCTGTGTGGAAGTTATCGGAGATGCATCCCTTTTTTTTAAGGCCAGGGGGTCTCGCTATGTAGTCCAGGCTAGCCTTGAATTTGAGGTCCTTCTGAGTACTGGGACTGCAGGTATATGCCACCACACTTAGTTTCAGAGATGTATTTTTAAAAATGCGTGTCTAAAATAGGGATTAGAAATCTGCATTATTTCCTAGAAATTCATAGGCTCAGTTGTAAAAATTTAACTGCTGAGAGGGACTAGAGATTCACATTTAGCTCTGAGATACCTTTATGAAGCAGCTACACTACTGCTTTAAAGGAGTTAAGTGTTTTAAAAAAAACTGGTAGGTAAGTTCAAGTTCACTAGTGAAGTGGGAGGTGCTTAATTACCGAGACGCCAAGGTAAAGCTGGATGCAGGGCTGCAAGTCTGTACTCTCATCCACTCCAGAGGGTGCAGCAGGCGCACAGAGCAGCCTGGGCGGATTCCAGACTGCTGTCTGAAAAAGGTTTGGGAGTGTCACACTCAGTGGCAGCGTCCCTGGGTTTGATCCCCAGTACTGCAGAAAGAAGGCTGTCAACACTGAATTTGTAAAAGTCATGCAGAGTTTTGCCTGTGATAGGCTGACAGTCTGAGGTTCTTTTTTGTCCTTCCTGGGCAGCACCATAAACAGTCTCAAGTCTATCACTGCTTTACAACTCCTGATTGCAGCCTGTGGCCTTCAGCCTCCTCCCTAGCTAGTACCGCCTGTACAGTTGCTTCCTGACCATAAGGAACTGCTCTGATGATGTCACTTCCTTGTTTAGAAACTCACTAGTGGCTCATTGCCAATCTAGAAGTTTATTATTTTATTTTATTTATTTTTGTGTTGTTGAGGCAAGGTCTCGCTGTGCAGTTCAGGCTGGCCTTGAGCTCACTGTGTAGCCCAGGCTGGTTTTGAACTCGCAATGATCCTTCTGCCTCAGCCTCCCGAGTGCTGGGATTACAGGCATATGACACCATGCCTGGCCAGAAGAGTTCAAATGCAAAGGCATATAAAATCTCTTCTGTTACTTCCTGTGTTTCCCCCCCTCCCACTGTGATACCTATTCCCCCCCCCCGAAATGTTTAATTGAACACAGATGTTTAGAAATCTTGATTCATTATTCTGAAGTTCGAGTACCTTATTTTCCCCTTGAAGTTTATCATAGGTATACAGCTCTTTTAAAGGTCAAAAAAATAACATTTCTGCCTTGAAGTCTTAATTTGTCTTTTCTATATTCATGTGCTTATTCATTCCCTGAAATACATTTTTAAAATTTATTTAGTATTTCATTAATTGCTTTCATTATTTTTTCATGGTTGTGTCTGATTTCTTGTACTTGCAGTAATGCGGTTGAACCCAGGGAGCGCTGAGCTATATTCCCAGCACCCTCCCCCTACCCCCGCCTTTTTAGACAGGGCCTCACTGTATAGTTCAAGTCACTACATAGCCCAGGCTTGCCTTGAACTGGTGATCATCCTTTCTTAGCCTCCCGAGTGCTGGGATTGATTATAGGCATGTGCCACCATGGCTGGCCCCCATCCCTTGTGAGATAAAGTCTCACTAAATGGTCCATCAGAACCTTGAACCTGCAATCCTGCTTCAGCCTCCAGAGTAGCTGGGATTACAGGTATGCACCAAGTCTGTTACTACACCATTACATACGTACACACATACCTACCTGTGTCCACATGCATACATACCCCACTAACCAGGTGTCACCATTAGCAGGTATTTAATATCAGAATTTTGTCTCCTCCTACACAATGGAATGGTTAAGAGGGCTAATGGCTATAGATGTTTTTTCTCATCCATGACATTACATAGAAGGTAATTTTTGTTCACTGTTAAGATTTAAAGGTGTGTAAGCTGACTTCTACATCAAGTAGATAACACCAACATCCTAATTACTGTTACTTTTGTGATGCAGGGGATTGAACCCAGGGCCACACACATGCTAACCATAGTCTACCAGTGAGCTATACACCCTCACCGGTATTTATTTTAAACATTTAAGGAAGATAAACAGCGGGACGAGGTGGCGCACGCCTGTAATTCCAGCATTTGGGAGGCTGAGGCAGGAGGATCCTTGCAAGTTTGAGACCAGTCTGGGCTACAAAGTGAGCTCAAGGCCAGCCTGAACTGCACATGAACGGCACAGCAAGACCCTGTCTCAAAAAGAAAAACAACAACAACAAAAAAAAAACAGTAATGGTACTGAACGTGAAAAATGTTATGGAGTAGAATAAGGAATAACTGAAAACATTTGGGAGGAATTTAAATGAAAACAATACTGACAGGTATTTTCAAACCTTTTTTACCATTGTTTCTTAGAAATAAACTGCAAAGTCCGTACAATATCTACAGAGATTTTTTTTTTTTTGATACCAGGACTCGAACTCAGCACCTTGTGCTTGCCAGGCAGGTGCTTGTCCTGCTGAGCTACACCCCTGGCCAAAGAAAGAACAGGAATTCTTGAGACCCTTATTAAGGTAAAGTGAACCCTAGGTGAGGCTATAGGTCAGTGGTATTGCACTTGCTTAGCATGTTTGAGGCTCTGTCGAATCCTCAGTACCAAAAAACAACCACAAACCCCCCCACAAAACAAACTGCATTTTCCCCCTATTGAGTAGACTAAAAATGTATGTTAGGAACACGTGTGTGTGTGTGTGTGTGTGTGTGTGTGTGTGTGTGTTTTTGAGATGGGGTTTCACTATGTAGCTCAGGCAAACCTTGAACTAACTTTGTAGACCAGGCTGGCCTCAAACTTGCAGCAAATCCTCCAGAGTGCTGGGATTACAGGCGTGCACCACCAGGCCTGGCCCACTCAAGTACTGGTTAAAATTTTCTTTTGCATAAAGTTCAGATAGTAGTTTTAAAGACCACCTTTTTCCTTATGCACTGTGAATTGGCACCCTGGGTTTGAAATAGTTGTGAGTGCTGTATAGGACTGTTTGTAAATATGCTCAACATATCGTCTGGAATACTCAATATTATGCCATCTGTCTCTGGAATTTCCTATATCAGAAAGAACCATAGCTTGCAAGCCATGAAATGATCATACAAAGGTATAACAACTGATCAACAAAATAAATTTGAAAGGTTTAGTGGTTCAGGTAAGAATATTTGTTACTGCCATCTGAATTACTAGATTTACATGTAGTATTTTAAAAATTGTATCTGTGCTGTCATTTTTATCATCTGGAGTCTTACTGCCAATGGTCCTACTGAGATGATTTTTATACTTTACCTCTTAATAGCTTGCTCTTTGTGGGTAGAGACCCTGCCATCACATCTGCTGCTAGAGAGGGTTTAATAAGCTAAATAACTTTATAAAGCCTTGGAAACTAAAGAACTATCACTAATATTCATTTTCTCTACAAAGACATTGCCTCAGGTGTAAAACGAGTTGATCAGAGGTCCCTTAAGTATTTTGGTTCTAAAATACTTAAGATTCACTTAAGATAGCTATTACTACAACTGGAACGGCACATGTGTTTGTTTCCTAATTTCAGTTGTACCACGTTGACAGTAACAAATTAGTTACCTCAGGTAGGTAATTGCAAACCTCCCTGAAGGTAGGTAATCTAAGAATCTGTTCAGTGTTAACAATCTCCAGATACATAGAATTGAAAGTGATCTTGCAACACTCTTCTTTGAAAGCCTCTAACTTCCTGGGTTAACTTCTTCAGTTATGTGAAGCTGGCAGTATTTGAGGGAGTAATCTACAACTAAATTAGTATTTTTATGATGAAATTTTCAGTCAGTTGAAGTCCTATAGTGGAGTGTAATAGGGGGGAGGGTCTTTAGTCAGGTTGCCTTGATTTACCTATTACAACACTGGTCAAGTAATATACCTCACAGGCTATGTGAGGATAAAAATAAATGGACACTAAGTACTTAGTAGTTTTTTATTTCTATGTTTTGAGACAAGATCTCGCTCCCTAGCCCAGGCTGGCCTCATACTTGCAGTTCTGCTTCAGCCTCCTCCAGGTGCTGCTGTTAAAGAAAACACCACTACTCCTGGCTAATACCTGACATTTAAAAGGGCTGAAACATATTTAGGTAGGGCGAGGCATGCCAGTGCATGCCTGTAATTCCAAGATTGCAGCGAGCTGGAGGCCACCTTAGACTCCTGAACTACATAGTGTGACCCTGCCTTAAAAAAAAAAATAAATATATATATATATGACCCAGACTTTCTGTGCAGTAATTTGGGGGAGGAATGGCTCCCTAGACGGTAGTAACAGCGAACAGTACAGATTACGTGCTAGGCGCCACTCGGAGTGATCTCCATGTTTAAACTGTTGACAGCCTATGAAGTGGTGGTACTCTTACCCACCTTTTACAGACGAGCTCGGCGAAACTCCTGGCCGAGGCAGCGGGGCAGGGAGGGACGGGACCACAGTCCTGACGCACGGGCCCAGCTCTGCGGTCCCATCCGGCGCCGCCGCAGCTGCTGCCAAGCCTCACCACAACTCACAGCAGCAAGATGGGGAGCTGAGCAGTATCTGTGGGCCGTCAGAACCTTTGGGGGCACTTACTGAGCACCTTCAAATTATTTCAAGGAAGACCATATTTTAAACTGCTAACAGTAAAGGTTTATTCATGATCGAAGCAAGAATTTGTAAGTGCATTTTAATGCCTTGATAAAACAGTAACATTCCACCTTCGCAATCGGACAGTACGGGAGGATACTGGTAAAGGCTGTGATGTGCACGTCATACCGGGCAGTCAGAACACACACACACACACACACACACACACCCCACCTACTTTAGTGTTACACCGCACCAACTGCAGAAAAGCCATCGTGAAGCTCTACTGGATAGCTGAGTAAATAGTGCCAGGGCTTAGTCTAGAGCACGGGAAGAGGAAGGGGACGCAGCAAGCAGCACACACCTGCAGCCCACTTCTAAGCGCACGACATCATGCACACTACAAACAGGGTGCAGAACCATTCGGGCATCTTCGCGAGGGGCACTTGGGACCTTCAGCGCATGAGCAGGCTGTGCTTGGGGCCGTCCACTCTCTCCAGCTTCTCGAAGTGTTTCCTGGCGTTGCGAATGTTGATCAGGGTAGCGGCGGACGGGATGGACGGATCCGACATAACCACCATCACGTACGTGTTCGACGTGAAGATGTCGATGAAAGCCGCGAAGTTGGAATTCCTCACTTCCATGCTCTGAAAGGAGGCGGCCAACTTGCTGCAGCTCAGCTTGAACTGCTTAATGATGTTGCTGATCTTCTCGAAGCGGTGCACGTCGCGCTGCTCCTTGCACTGGTAGTGCGAGATCACCAGGAAGGTCGCTCTCTCGAACAGCAGCACCTCGTCGGCCTCGATGATCTGCGCAAAATTCCGCAGGTTCGTCTCCAGCTGCTGCACGTTGGGGATGAGCTGGTACACGATGCTGGACCAGGCCTTGTAGAGCGTCTCGTCCCAGATGGACGTGCGGAAGCAGGCGCACTCCAGCGGCCGCGACAGGCGCCGCAGGTCCTCCTCGCGCTCCCGGAAGATCAGGTCGCGCTGGTCCTCCTGCACCAGGTCCATCTTGTGCACCAGGCAGAAGATCTTGGCGTCGGGCGAGTTCTGCAGGATGGCCTCCAGGCACGACTGGTAGTAGTGCATGTCCTTCTCCAGCTCGCGGCTCTCCACGTCGAACACGTAGATGAGCACCTCCACGTTGCGGAAGATGTTGTCGCGCTGGCTGGTGAAGTAGTTCTCCATGAAGGTGTCCTGCCCGCCGCAGTCCCACAGGTTCAGCACCAGGTTGCCCAGGAAGCGCACGTGCGAGTGCTCCACGTCGATGGTGGCGCCCAGGCGCCGCGTGTCGCGCGCGATGTAGTTGGCGAAGATGATGGAGCGCATGCTGGTCTTCCCCGACCCGCTCTTGCCCATCAGCAGCACCTTCTTCTTCATGGCCGAGTTCGGCATC